TCAGCCTAGCTCACAGCAACCTCCAACTCCTGGGCTCAAGCGATTCTCCTTCCTCAGCCTCCTGAGTAGCTGTGACTACAGGCATGCACCACCATGCCCGACTAATTTTTTTTCTATACATATTTTTAGTTGTCCAGCTAATTTCTTTCTGTTTTTTTTAGTAGAGATGGGGTCTTGCTCTTGCTCAGGCTGGTCTCGAACTCCTGAGCTCAATCAATCCTCCCTCCTCAGCCCCCAGAGTGCTAGGATTACAGGCATGAGCCACCATGCCTGGCCGATTTTTATCATTTTTTTAAACTTTCTGTGCCAGTTATCAACTTACTGCCTCTCAGCTCCAATTCACCATTCATTGCCTGCTCTACAAAAATGGATCTGAGGCCTTTAAATATTATTCCTTTGTGAGCAGGCATGATGTTAAGCTATGTTAACAGAGAGACTGTTTCCCTAGTATCTAACTCCTACCCAATTCCTGCAGCTCAGTTGGCTTCTCTAGCTCTCTCTCTCTCCCCTACCCAGTGTTTTTAAGCAGAGTGCCTCTGTTGAGATACTGCCCATAAATAGCTTCTCCTGCATCCTGGTGGCAGATTTCTGGCAACTTCCAGGGTTTGAAGGTAGATTTCCAAATTCTGACTTTCAGTTAGCCATGGTCATGCCCTTTTTCCAACAAGGTCTACATCTCGACCCTGAGCATTCTATCTCAGCCCAGCACGTAGTGGCTGCTCCTCACATTTGCTATTCCTATATTATCTAAAGTTTTCTTTACTTCTTACCAGCCAATCCCTCATTACTTAAATTCCCAGTTATAGTGAGTAATTCTTTATATTAAACTTTTCCTATTCAAATTACTGTGTGGTTTCTCTCCCACGACTGGACCCAGACTGATACATTATTATTAGACAATGTTTCCTTAAGATCCTTAATTCTTCAATATCCTCTAGAATGTCAGCCAAGCCATCGTCATCCATTTGTCTGGCTGCCTGACCATTTAGATGATGTAATTTACTTTTTTGTCAAAAGTCAACAAACCCTTTAAATCTTTAAAAATCATTCACAAATCATTCTATAGGTTTCACTAACATGCTTGACTATTTCAGGATGTATTGCTCTCATATTACAAAGCCAGCAGAGGAATGACTGTGGGAATAGATTCTTGCCTTTCTTTTCATAGTTTCTCAGGCATCTGTTCACTGAGTAGAATAGTATTCATACTATATATCACTGTTATTTCTATCTCTCTCTTCCTCTCTCCCAAGCACTATAGCTGCATTATCACAAATTTGGTCTACTGACTGTGAGCTCATATAGTAATTCGACCTATATGAACCAGTTTCCTCATCTCTGTAAAAAGGGTATAATATCTAAATGATAGAGTTATCAACAGAAGAAAGCTTTTCAAAAGCCTACACAAACTAAACTGTTCCTTGAAGAATTTTCAAGAGCTTTATGTGATGACCATCATATTGGATATACCAAGAAAAATGGAGGTTTCTTTCAAGATTAAATGGTATGGAGAAACCAAAAGTAGAGGAGAGAGAACAGAAGTAAAATTTTCTCTGTGTTAATTACTGTCCAACAATCTCACCAAGAGAGTGATAAAGTTGTAGAACTATTTATAATAGCGATGGAAGCCAAGCAACGTGTGAGCAACATTTGGTTACTTACTTTGCCATTGTTTCTGCAGACAGGTCTTCAGAATTCTTGACTTTTGTTTCACCTAAAAAGAAAATATTTTAAAAATAAAATTCTGAAGGATAAGAATTACAAAAACAACAGTATTTCCTTTTAAAAATCTCTCCTTTGGACAATGAAATAGGTACATAATTTTATGTGATGGGTTTAGCAAGGATTTTCTACATTACAGATAAATATTTACAGTTAGCCTAAGGAGGATAATTATAATATCCTAGGCAAAGATTTATCCACATTCTTTATTCATTACTTGCATAAGAATTTGGTTACTTTAAAGGACATTTTCTGGCTGGGCACGGTGGCTCACGCCTGTAATCCTAGCACTCTGGGAGGCCGAGGCAGGAGGATCGCTCAAGGTCAGGAGTT